CCAGGTACATTTTAGGCTCTTCTGTCGATGATGATAAACAATGTGCAGTGTACAATTCAAATTCATTTAAATGGGAAGGTTTTTTAATGTTTCTTCTAACTTTAGAATTTTCCATTTTGTCTTCTCTTTCATCTTTTTGCTCGTTGTTGTTATTGTGTCCTAGTATTCTTCCATCATCATCTTGCTCTACTTCAATACTGGGTATAATTACAGTTGGAGAAACCACCCCTCTTCTATTTGCTTTGGTCTGGCTCTTTCATTCTCTATATACTCCATACAATCTTCATCAAACTGCACATCTCATGATCTTACTATCCTTCCTTCTATTGGGATCCACAACCTATAGTCACCTCCACAGTATCCCACCATAACTGTATGTTTTGCTCTTGGTTGTAGTTTGTTTTGCTTTGGTAGAATGCTGTACCATGCTCAACATCCAAATATTTTTAGCTGGTTGATATCATTTCGTCCATGCCACAGAAGTGATGGCATTTTCTTTCTCTGAAGAGCACTTGTTGGAGATCTATTTAGTTCACAGGCTGAGCTCTTTAATGCTTCTCCCCATAACTCCTGTGGGATTCCTGAGTCAATGAGTTTTGTGCGGATTATGTTTAATAAAGTCTTATTCATGCGTTCAGCCTTTCCTCCCATCTGTGGACTGCCATGTAGCTCACAGTATATTCCAATAGTATGCCATTGTGTTTTGCAAATCCTTTAAAATTGTTTGAACTGAATTTGCCACCATTATCCAGCTACAGTCTTTTCACTGTAAGACCATGCTAAACTTTTATTTCTTGAATATAATCTATCAAGTTATCCTTTGCTTCACTCTTGTTCTTTAACAATTTAATGACAAAATGTGAGAAGTCAGCTAAGATTACCTGAAAATACTTTTCACCACAAATTGTAGATGGCGTAATTATTAGTCCACATACATCACTATGAACAAGTTCACCTGTGGCAGTAGAGCTTTCATTACAGTAGAAAGGGACTCGAGAAGCCTTTCATTCTTTACATGTTGAGCATGTTCAATTCAAAACTTTGAGTCCAAGCTGCCACAATACATCTCTTTGTAGGTGACCAAGGTGTCGATACCACAAATCATCTTCAGTTGCAGTGTGACACTCTTAGAGCCCATCTGCTCTGTTACATTACAAAACAAAATTATTTCCATAAATTGTTGTTTATTCCTTCTCCACACAATCCAATGTCGTTTTGAGGTCATTTTCGAGACTGACAGAAAATTGTGCTTAATATCAGGAACTATGTAAATATGTTTATAACAAGAAATCCAACTAATTGAGATTGAAAGAAACAACCAAATTTGCTCTAGAAACACTGTACAGATCTCAAAAGACTCAATATGACGACTGCAGCAATGCATCATGGTATCATGTCCAGACCGTATGTTTGCTAACTACCAGCACTGTCATCTATTGAGCTAATAAGAAACGTCTTGTATTTTTTTTTTTTTTGTAAATTCATTTCAATAGATAGGAGTTGTTTTTTAACTATTAGATAATTATGTATAATCTTGTTTTAAAACCTACTTCATATTAACTGCTCAAATTAGGGGTTTTGGTGGCACACAAACATACCAGTTTGAGTGACCAGGACATAAGTGATTTTCTTGAAAATTTTTCAGAATTCTACCAATGAAAATAAATTTAGTGATGAAGAAGAAAAGAAAACTGGTTTGGTTTATTTGCTTATGGTAACATGACACATGGGCAATCTGCTGAGGGAAAAATGCTTCATGGGAAATCTTTTAAGGAAAACTGGCCCCTATTTAGGTGTTAGTAATGAGAAGAAAAATTGGAAAACTCCACGTGACCAGCCCATTGGCAAGGTTCAAACTCATGACCCCAACCAGGGGCCTTAGTCTCGAGTTTTTCGTGTTACAACTCCCAACGTGTTGAAGGTGTCACGTGGTACCATCTCACACACTGACGTCAAATTGGTAGTCTCTAACTCACGTGCTTTCCCATCTCATCATGCGAGTTGCTACTCACGTTGAGTCGAGCATGTGAGATCGCTACACGAAAGTAAAAATGGCTGATGGATACGCAATTCTTATTGCTATCGAAGAGTTAGAAAGAGCCGAAAGATGTTGTTTGAGAAGGCAACGAATTTTTCGACCACAAGTAGATGACATTTCTTTTCATGTCAAGTCAATACTAATAAAAATAACTTTAATTCATAATTGATAAATGTATACAGCAAATTTTTCTAAAAATAAAAAGAAGTATCTAATTCATCGAAAAAGAGTATTAAAATGATAGTAAATTATATGTATAGATTATTAAAAGCATAGACACTACATTAAGATTATTTATTAATCAGAAGTGTTAAGTTCTGATTAATAAATAATCTTAATAGACAAAACAATTTAAGAAATAGATCAAGGAAGAAAACTATATGAAGAAAGGATTAAGTTTAAATACATTTTCCATTACATAACAGATTTTTTAGGTTCAACACACGCAATTAATTTTTCAAGTAATTCTCTCCACAAAGCGAATTGTCTTTTTCTTGTAAATTCGTTGTCGAATTTTCCGCTGTTCATTTTCTTATTATTTTCTATATATGTTACTAATATTTCATTTTGTTCTTCGCTTACTTTTTAAAATAAAACATTCGAGGTTTTCATTTTGTTTCTGCGTACTATATTGCCACAAGACAACTTTTAACTGTAGCACGTGTAAACTAATTCGCGTTGATTTGTTTACAACTTGTTACAGTGAAGGTGATTGGTCGAATCATTATAGTCGCAAACCCAGATGCATTGTAAATAATCCCATCATGCTTATCGACAAACGTAAACAAGTGAATATGACCTACTTCTGCTTGCCTTTCGAGTTCACTCAAAGGGTCTAACTCGAGACTACCGATTATATGAGTCATAGTAACACGAGTGAGTTCGATGACGTCAGTTCGAGTACAACACGAAAAACTCGAGACTAAGGGCCCAGTGGTAAGTGGTTTTATCCACTCAGCCACTGATTGGCAAGAGGAAAGCTCTGATTTTGTTGAGCAGATTTTGATTAAAAATTTCCAGCAGGACAGATTGTTGTTTTAGATAATGCTAATTTTCATAAAATGCCAAAAGTGAAAACTTTAATACAGTCAATGGGATGTAAAGTTTTATATTTGCCAATTTACTCACTTGATTTCAATCCTATTAAGCGTTATTGGTTTAAAATTAAACATAATATTCAAAAAATATGTCACATGTCACTGATGTTTCCTATGCTGTTTATTTTGTTCTTAGAAATGTCTCTATCTTTGTATACTAAGCTAAAGCTTGCAAATGGTCATTCTTGCTTTTACTGCTTTACTACTGAAAACATTATGAACAGGTTCTAACCAAAATACAACTGCTACACATAATATCAGTGTTTCATCCAGTGATATGAATCAAGTGATATTTCTGAAAGCAATATTGGAGATGAAGGTGATTTGTCTGAGTGGAGGTTACATACAGAAAACTACAATGATTTTGAACAGTGACAAAGTGGTTTGTAGTAAAATAGGCCACCAGATAAGGACTTGAATGAGGAGAAAAAGACTACAAAAATTTAAACAGTTTTAATATATGAGCTATGATCAATAAGTTTCAAGAATTATTATTATTATTATTATTATTTTAAATAAATGAAAGCACGTTTGGCCACTTAGGATGGATTGCCTTGAAAGTACTATCCTTGAAATATAATACATTTTTCTCAGTGTTTCTGGAACAACCAGGAAGAGTTCTGGAACTCATATTTTGGAATGGTCTTCAGAGACTTCATTGCATCTTCTTGGATGGCATCAAAGTCTTCAGAAGTTTTATCTTCAACTCAATTTTTAGTTTCAGAAAAGGAAAATGTCAGAGTTAGCTGAATCTGATGAATATTGAGGATATTTGATCAACGGAACATTGTGTTTGGCCAAATAACAGTTCACAGACTGTGCTTTGTGATATAGCAGCAAGAAACCATGATTTTGACTGTCATTTTTGTGACTCATTTTAGCAGTTTGTGGACTTCTATGGCTGTTTTCCCTAATCTTACACAAAATTTGATTGCTACACATTGCTCTTCTAGGTCTGAGATTTTGGAATGCGATACTGATTCCACAGACAGTCTCTCTTCTTCCCACCACTTTGCTGCTGCATGTAAATACCAGCAAGATGAAATCTGGACATATACTCCCATACCTAGATTATCACTGGAGTGCAACATCTGCTAACACTTCATTTTTATAAAAAAGAATTCTCAAACTTATCTTGTATACTCCAAAAGTTGATCACATCAAGTAATTACAGGAAGAATTCAGGAATCAGAAGATTTAAAAATTTTTGGTAACTTCTGGGAGACTCCCAGCAAATCCTCAAGAGTTAGCAATCATAATTTTCAGACTCACGACCCCCAACTTCTCATAGACCAGTCTATTAAACTCCGATATCATTAACAACGCGTGATCCATTCTAGTAAACAAAGCAAATTTGAAAACTTTTGACTAGTTTCTTGGAAACTTGAAAAAAATATAAGTTAACACATTTTTGTCCAAGATCCTCACATAATAAAATTGTACATAAATTTATATTTAAATTTAAACATATTAATCATGGGTAGAAGTTACTTTAGCCAATTTTTATATAAATATGTACACATGAATTTCTTTAATAAAGTTAATTTCTACCTAAATCATGTATCTGTGCAATTCGATATTAAAAATTTCATTTTTTTATTATGTTTTTGTTATTACTTAAGTGGGATGAATCTTAATTCCCATCTAAGAAACACTTTAAAGTGAGTTTTAATATCAATTCTAATGAAATTAACAATATTGAACATATCGATGCCTCGTGAATATTTAATAATAGATTCTTAAACATTAAAAGACATCTGCATCTTTGTCTGCAATTTTCTTGTAGAAACATTTACAAATTGTGTTTTTATATATAACAATACTTTTACATTTCATTTAATCGAATATTTAAATTTAATACTTGCCTAAAAAATTCTAAATTCCGCTTTTCTGAAAGCACTTCAACATTAAGAAACTACTCATCACTCAGCGCCCTCTTCGAAAAAATAAAAATAAAAAAGGAAATATTATGATGTTTGTAATATTAAGATTTATATAATTTTATTCACTTTTTAAATAGTATATTATTATTTTTATTACACAAAAATATCGCAAAATATTAATTATATGATTTCAAATGAATACAGGTTATTTAATGAAACATGGTTTTATTTGGAGTAGGCAGGTGGACGAGATTATCGGCGAATGCTCTGGCGTTTGGAAACTAAACAAAAGTTTACCGGGGTTAACAGAGGTTTTTGCCGCTCGGAGCTCCACAAGTACGTAGTGGCGAGTTTTAAAAATGGATTTTTTTCCTCATGGAAATCTCTTCTGCATGTGAGAAATTGCAACATATTCCATTAGACGGCATTGTTTATACAAATTAGATTGTATAACAAATAGTGGGAGACAGTAATATTGCCAATACTAAATAAAAAATTTAAAACAATATCAAAATATACGAAAAATATTGGAAAAAATATAACTTATAACACCTTCGATCTAATCTACAAGAATATATCTACAATAAAATCACATTAAAAATACAAAATAATTACATGTATACTAATTATCTCTCTTAATTGATTTTTTTAAAACTGTGAGAACTAAAGGGGCCTCTTTTAGCAAGCCCATTATGGATTTAACCAGGCCCACAACGAGGTGGCCAGACATATTCGGACGGACCACCAACTGAAAAATCCCTGGGATTTTTCGATCTGTCCGGATTCGATTCCGGGTCCCCCAGAGCTGCCATCTTTGAACCACGTGGCCATCCGGCCATCTCTCTTTATTGATTAAACCAAAGAATGACAAGCCACATATATAAAAGAACGATAATTTTTTAATTAATTAAATAATTCGCCCTTCTATCAGGCTAGAGATGTGTATATTTATTGTTATTTATTTATTTATTTATTATTATTTTTACAATTAAGCACGGAAAATTAGATAAGTTGCTAAAAAATGAATATAACGAACTTCCAGCTAAACATTTGATGCGCGTTTTCGGTATAAAAAAAATAAGTATTTTATTGTACCGTATTTAGTTTTTTGTAAATAAATTTTGTTTATTTATTTACAATTGCATACGTTTATTAGTTATAAATATTGATACAATAAAATAGAATTTTATTATTCACAAGATATGAAACTAAGAAAGTGAAATCCCTTTAATAAAGACCGCTTTCATTAGGCCAAGACTTGCTTCTAAGAAACCTCAAAAACACTTATCACAAATTAATTATTTTACAGTATTAGATTCAATCCAATCTTATGATGGAATCTGACAGGCCTACAATGGAACGACCCGGTTGTGAGGAGAAACAAGCTCGACATATCTAAAATTTCCGAGGTTTTCACTATCCCGGATTCGATCCCTTATCTCCCGGATCAATCCAACTCGTAAGTATGTACTGTACTTTGATTAATTAATATTAATTTAGTTATAGTTTTTAGATTATTTAACAATAATCTAAAAACTATACCAGGTGTGTCCAATCATTTTGTTTGTCTGGACCACATTGGAAGGTCATGGAGTTCTGGGTCACAAGTATATTGTCCGTAAATATACAAGTATATTTAAGGATTTACATGTGTAGATTATAGTAATAAGTATTAAACCTTTACCACGAAAAAGGATATTTTAAAAACTTACTTTTACAGACGCTTTTAATTTCTACTTAGAAATAGATAAATTTATTATAAAGGAGTCAAACAAAAATTTATTTCAAAAAGACAAATACAGTAAACCTGTCTATGGCGACCACCCACGGTTCCTTCAAAAAGTGGTCTTTTAGACAGGTGGTCGTCCAATACAGGTGGTGCTGTAATACCGTATTTCCGTACGTATTTTGCGCACTTTTTAGCCATTTCTACTAAGCATAACTCGAGGCTAGCAAAAATAAGCGAATTTTTTCAACGATAGGGCTATATTGGTATTGTATTTTATTCTTATCGGATAACCCGATT